AACACAGAAAGCACAAGTGACTGTGGCTCAAGACACAAACAAAGCCCCTACCTTGGGATGGGGATTTCAACCTCTCTCCACTACTGAAATTCCTAGAATTGCAGATTGGAACCACAGCACCAAGCGACGCATGGAAATGGACCTGTACAGATCCTGATCCTGTGCCTGCAGAGTGTACACTCTCCCCTGGGCCAGATTTACCAAAGCAGGCCGTGGTCTTAACCACAACAAGCTTTTAAACAACAAGAAGGGTTGAAATTACACAGCACATGATCTCTGGCCATGCTAGAGTTGTGTTTGCTCTAGTAACAGAGAGAATGGGAAAATCTCCAGAGATTTGGAAACAAGTGTAAATTAAGCAACAGATTTCTGAATAACATACATTAAAGAGAAATCATAATAGAAGTCAGAAAATATTTTGAGCAGCAGGCGACGAAACCACTGAGTTAAATCCCCGGCCCACAGAAAATATTTTGAGCTGAACAACATTAAAAAACTGGAATGCACAAAACGAGTTACCAAAGGGAAATTTATAGTTTACTGGAAAAGCCAGATTTTTAAAACGGAGAAATGCTGAAAATCAATGACCCAAAAGTCCAGTTGAAGAAGCTAGGAAAAGAATATCAAAATAAAGACAAAGAAAGTAGAAGAAAGAAATAATAATGAAGTTCATTAAACAAAAGACAGAAATAATGTAGAAAAATCCACATTAGTAGAAAAAATAACAGAGAAAATCAATAAGAACAAAATCTGATTCTATGAAAAGATTAATAAAATTGATAGACCTCCAGCAATATTGGCCTTAAAAAGAGAGAATTTTTACCAAGGTGCAGAATAGAGATCTAGAAGTCAAAGACATAAAAGGGTATTAAAAGAATACTCCACAGCTTATGTCAATAAACTGGACAGCTTTGGTGTGAGGAGTAAACTCCTTGAAAAATGCGATTTGTCAAATCTGACAAAAAGAATGTGAAGTCAGGCATGATGGTGTGTGCCTGCAGTCCTAGCTGAGGCAGAAGGGTCACAAACTGAGGCCCAGCCTGGGCAATTTAGGGCCTTAGTGAGACTCTGTCCCAAAACGAAAACTAGAAAAAGGGCTGGAGATACAGCTCAGCGTGAAGGCCCTGGGTCCAATCCCTAGTACCAAAAACAGAAGGAAGAGGAAAATGGAAGGAAGGAAGGAGGTAAGGAAGGAAAGCAGGCAGGCAGGCAGACAGGCAGGCCTGAGCACTCTGATCTTTATTAAAGATATTAAATCCACGACATCTTTCCCAAGAGTGGGATGTGAATACCCACAGATGGTCTCACTGATTAATTCTTCCATTAATATCTAGCACAACTTTTGGTAGATTTTTTCCTAGTTGCTTCATATTTTTGATGCTATGTTAAATAGAATTTGAAATTAACTTTATTTTCTCAAACATTCATTAATAGCATATAGAAATGCAGTTGTTTGCAGGTTGATGTTGTAGCCACAACCATGCTAAATTCTTTGCCACTCTAACACAGTGCTGCTGCTCCGTGACAGGACACATCCTGGGAAAGGGACCCTTTGGCAAGTCTGTCCTTGTGAGAGCACTGTCCTCATCCCAGACTAGGCAGAGGTCACCAGGGATAAAACGTCACAGGCTACTGTAGTGTGTTGGACCCACTGTTCACTGTTCAGGGGCAGCTGCTGTGCCTACTGGGTTGTACTTTGTCAGAAGTTCTTTTGAGTCCAACACAGAGGCGATCTTATGTGCTAACCATTACTGTTGCTACTTCCTTTCCAACCTGCACACCGTGTAGTCTTTTTCTGCCTTAGTGGGTACAGCGTGGGCAGCAGGCACCTTGACATCCACTTGGTGAGAAGCTTTACTGTACCCACCAGTGACAGGGCCACTGTGGGTTTTGTGGGCTGATGGAATCTGCTAGACTCTGTTTGCTGATCTGAGGGGTGACAAATCCCTGGGGTCTTAAGGTCAGCGAGGCCTTCCTTCTTGGGTCAGCCCAGCTGGAGCGAAGCCTGCTGTCCCTCTCCTGAGAGTCTGGACTGGTGTGGTGTCCTATGTCTCCAGGCTCTGTCCTTTCCAGGGCTGGCTTAGGTAGAGGGCAGGGGCCACACTGCCCCAAGTCACTGGACCAGTGGGTCCCATCTTCCACAAGGCCCTCAGGCAAGGCCTCCCACAGCAGAGTCCACACTAGGCACTGCTATGGCTGGGAGACCCAAGCTCTTGGAGCTCTGTCCCTGGAGGGATGATGCCAGTGGCCCAGTGAGGGGGTACATAGATGCTGGGCTGGGGGCTGCAGCCCATGGCCTGGGTTCCTCCAGGAAGAGGAGTCCAGAAAGGAGGGGAGCTTCTCCTCTCTGAGGAGGGAGAGGCGTGCTGGAGAGGGGACATCCTGGGAAGATGCAGCCGTGGGACGCAGGTGGAGAGAGGACAGGTTGCATGGGAGGAGAGGCACAGGCAGTCAGTGGAGTCGGAGGAGTTACAGCGCAGAGGTCCCTTGTCCCCAAGGGCAGAAGGGCCAACAGGTGTGACCCCTGCAGGGCCAGGCAGCTGTGGGCACAAGAGCAGAGAGGGGTGGGTGCAGGCACAGGCTGGTGCTGAGCGAGAGCACACTGCCCAGCCCCGCCTGGCCACTCTCAGCTCATGCATGGTCCCTGCACAGCTCAGCCCTGGTCCTGACCCCGACCTCCAGGCCAGGACAAGCTGCTGCTCAGACCCAGCCAACAATTCTGCCAAGGGCCTCACTGCTGCCCCTAGTGCAGCCCCGGGCCTAGGTAAAGGTGCACACTTTGGGATCGGGGGAAAGGGTTCCTGGGGCAGCATGGGCCCTGTGCCACCAGGTCCTGCACAGCTGCCTGAACGCTGGGCTCCAGGGCATCAGCAGGCAGGTGTGGAAGCGCTGGGACTCCGATAAACCTGCCCTTGGTGTTGGGGCGAGTCTGGAAGTGCAGCTCCCAGGCCTGATTCCCACAGTGCCCACCCCAGTGGGCCCCGGTGACCAGGTAGGGAACAGGGTGCACCCCTACTCAGTGTTAGAAGCGCAGGCCACACCTCCCCAAGAGAGGCTGGCACTGACTCTGTGGTTTAAAGATAGGAGGGGTCCAAGCACCCTAAAGTATTAAAAACTGACTTTCGACTCTCATACCTGTCAGCAAATGCCTACCTGTCTAAACTTTTGCCTCTTTATTCACAAACCATGCAAATGAAACAGAGACTCAGAAGCAAAAGTGGTAGACTGCATTTTTCCACTTCTACTTCCTTTGACGCACAGGTGCCTGTGGCAGGTCAGGCAGATGACCAGCATTTGGGGGCTGTAGGCTGGCTCCCCAGGGATGGCAGGCAAACCGTGCAATCGCACGGTGCCCTTCCCAGCTCCAGGGGGCGCTGTCACAAATCGCCTGCCCGCATACACGGCCTGGAGAGGGAGCAGGCATGGGGCTTCCCACCCAGCCCTCCAGCCTGGCCATGATGGGGTGAGTTGCACACCCTAGGCAGACTGTGGCCTGAAAGGGTGTCCTCACTCAGCCCACGCCTCCAGCCACCTCGGGCCAGGGTGCACACTGTTCTCTAGCCCTTGCCAAACACCCCACGGGCCCCTCTTGCCCACAACCTCGTGGGGGCTCTTTGCCACCCCCTTGTTCAGGCCCCCAGCCTGTGTCTCACTCAAGGCAACACTCTGCTCCCTGCCCTTTGAACTCCTGTGGTTCCCAGGGGCCCTGGTGCAGGTCCCAGGCCAGCTGACTCTGGGTGAACTTCCAGGGCAGGGTGACCGGAGGCTCTGGGCACAGCACAGTCCCTTCTTGTGCCCAGGGGCAGCTTCGCCAAGAGGACACCCCTCCTCCCGGACCCCAGGAGTTCAGGGAAAGAGCAGGGAGGCCATCTGGGCTGGAGTCAGTCTGCTCTCATCCAGCAGGTCTTCCTCTGGACTCGGGACAAGCGGGACCAGCTTGGACAGATGAGTTGGCAGCAGCCCCACCACCCAGGGCCACCCTGGTGGCTGCTCACACACATGTGCTGTGTCTCAGACCCTGTGCGGGCTCAGTCCAGCCCCTCTGCCACACAGGCCACTTCCTGTTGCTAGGAAACGGGAGCCACGGGGGAAAGCCACACACGTCAGCACTGTCCTCCTCGGACTCCTGGGAGCGCCACTGTGTGCTGAGACATCAGCAGATGCCCCACCTGCCTTCTGCCCACTTGTGTTTCATGGGTGCCCCTGGCTGTGGGCACTGCCCCAGCTCCAGGACGAGCCGCTCTCTCTGAGAACAGGTTCTCTGGGGAGGGCAGGCACGGCCAGACCAATCCAGCAGACGGCCTGGGTTTCAGAGCCAAGCTGAATGCCAGGGGAGTTGGTGCTCAGTGTCACAGCTGTGAGCCCGGGGGTCTGGGACAGGACATGGACTAGACTAAAAGGAGGAAGTCTGAGAGCCCAGGATCCATCCAGGTTGGAAGCGCCAGCTGGGGCCGGTGGGGGAGGCCAGTGGGGGAGTGAGGCTGGGAGCTGGGTCTTTCTCTGGGCCACCCAGGCTCTGTGGTAGAGGGTGGGTTTGGAGTAGGAGGGGTACTTGCCTTGGGAAACCCGGGGGCGCAGGGAAGCCCCCAGTTTGCAGCCCTGACTAGGAGGCTTGGCTGGCAGAGGACGGAGACCTCAGGGGGCCCTGGGAAGGACATTCCAGGCCTGGGCTGGAGGTCCAGGGTCCCTGTGCCCTCTGGGCGCGGTGCGGGATAGGCAGCAGGTGGCCAAGGCAGGAGAGGGGATCCTGCCTGACTGCTGTCGCCCTGCTGGATGTGTCCTGGGAATCCCTGGGCCAGGAGCAGCCATGCAAAACAGCCAAGATCAGCCCACCCACCTCCCCCTCAGGGGGGACCCAGCCGCCCGGCCAGGCAACGCCTAACCCTGTGGGCTCGGACTGGCTCGCGACAGCTGGGCAGCTGCGCTGGGGCAGGCGAGCCCGAGCTCACGTGTGCGCGGGGAGGGAGGAGGCCCCGCCCCAGGGCGGAGGGCTCAGGATTAAAGGCCACAGGCGGAGGCTGGCCGCAGTTTGGAGTCCAGTGGGGACACAAGGGGGTGATGTCTCGGCACACAGGCCCCCTGTGGGCTGTGCTGGCAGCGCTGGTGCTGCCACGGGCTGGGGCCATCGAGGAGGAGCCGAGTGGTGCCAGCCAGGGCTTCCAGATTGTCACCTTCAAGTGGCACCACGTCCAGGACCCATACATCATCATGCTCTGGATCCTCGTGGCCAGCTTGGCCAAAATCGGTGAGTGGTCGCTGTGGTCTCCGGCTTGCCTAGCCCCTGCCTTCCTTTCCTGTCCTTGGGGAGGGAGCCGGGTAGGACAAGGAGCAGGGACCTGGGGGTGGGGGACTGAAGGAAAGTTCCTGTGGCCAGGCCAGGGCAGGACGATCTCACATGCCCTCAGCGTTCCAGCTCCTTGTCTGGGCCTGGGTCCCTGCCTGGGGCTGCCCCGCTGCACAGCTCCAGGCTTTTCATGCCCGGAGAGGGATGCACCACGGGGCACCCTGGGGTGACGCTGGTTTCAGAGTGAAAAAGAAAAAGGATGCTGCTCACAGCAAAATCCAGCGAAACCCTGCACACACCCACAGTTTCCCCTGACTGCCACTTCTGGCCTCCTTGACCTGGGCCAGGGAGTCAGAAAGTGGGGTGACAGGTCCTCCTGGCAAGGTGAGAGGAAGGTCAGCTTCCTTGGAGCTCAGGAGGATCAAAGTCGCAGAGTGTCCCAGGAGGTGGCAGCTTAAGAAGGGGGAGCCTGGCCTGAGATGTAGGGCCTGGGGCGGGAGGGGTCCCTTGTGGGGGCCCTGTGTCTGCAGCGGGACTGGGGAGCAGGTCCAAGGAACTCGGACACAGCCGGGCGCACCTGTGCCTGGCAGAGGAGGTGGCTTCCTGCTGCACCTACCCACCGTGTGCGCTCACACCTCTGCCCCTCCATCCCTTTCCTTCTACTCTGAATCTCTCAAAAGCTGTTTTGGACCTGTGTGCCTCCTGGCTCTGGGGTCTGTGCACTCCCCGGCCTGGCAGCCAGGGTTCCTTGCTGGGTCCCACTGGGCTTTGCAATGGGGCTGTGAGGGAGTTCAGCTGGGCCTTTACTTAAGCACAGCCAGCTTGGTCCTGGGGTTCAGGGACCCTTTTGTACAGCTCCTTGGTGTACAGTGGGTGTCTCCAGGTCAGGGGCACTGCTCTGCATCCACACCGGGGTGATGGTTCAGAACCCAGTATCTGGAAACCCTTGCACAGCCCAGGCACTGGCCAGCAGGTCAGCTGCACTCTGCCCTGGAAGCTGCCAGGTGGGTGCTGACCAGGGCTCTGCCTGCCGAGCGGGTTATTTACCAGGAAGAGTCCAGCCCTGTGGGTCTCTGGGCGCTGGGACTAGTCCTGAGAGGGGTATTGGTGATGTGCTGGCCCTCTGCGCTCCAGCTGTCCCTCATGGGCAGGTCGGGACGGCTGCAGGGTGCTCCAAGGACAGCACGCTAGCCCACCAGCCTGCTTACCCTGGAGGAGGGGTGGGCTCCAAGGTCTCCTTCCCAGGAGGCCACTTGTGGGTCTCTCCCACGAATGGCGGCTTGGATGGGGCGAGGCCTCCCCGTGCTAAACAGGAAGCCTCTGTCCCGTCCGGCCTCTCTCCACTCCTCATCCTCAGCCACTGCTTGCCTCTGGGTCAAGGCCTGCTGAGCTGGCCCAGGCCTGCTTCTGAGTGCCCCCTTCCCACCCTGTGTTGCAGGCCTCACACGAACCTGCAGCCCACTCCATGCCTGGGTCCTCCCCTCCACCCCCGAGGCCCCTGATGGACCTCAGTCCACAGGCCCAATGACCAACCCCTGCTCAGAGACAGCCCAGCTGCCCCTGCTCATGCTCAGTCCCTAGCAGGAGTCCGAGGGATGGTCACAGACTGAAAGGTGCAGATGCCACCACCCATGCCCCCTCAGTGGCCCAGGACAGGAAGAGGGAGAGCCACGGTCCAGCTGTGGAGGGCTGAGACCTCACACCCAGCCCCTCCTCGAAGCTCCTTCTCCCCGGGGAAGCCTGGACTTGTTCAGACCCCTGCTGACTCCACCTGTCCCTCGGAGACCCCGGACGCCTCCATACACAGCTGACCTCAGGCCCCACCCCTCGATCCCCACCTGAGCCTCTGCCTCCCTGCCCCACACTCTGCTTCCTGAGCACAGGGTGGGAGGCGCCCCCCGGCCCCAAGACACAGCCCCCACTGGTCACCCCATTTCTCCAGGCCCTTTCAGCTTCACAGTGCCCACTCAGAAACTCTCCCAGCAGAAGGTCAGATTCACGTGGTCTTTCTGAATGTGTTGAGTGTCCCTAATGCCCGTGCCCAGCCTGTGGTTAAGGCAACCGGGTGGGGTGATTCCAGCCCTGGACACAAGGCAGTGGGCAGGTGTCCTGGGGTTGGGGACAGCACGGGCCAGGGGTGAAGATCAGGACCTTTGGTGGAGTTAGGTGGTGAGAGCTGTGTCCTCTGGCCATCCCAGGGCCCTGGACCCTGGGGCTGAGCCTGCAGAGGCACCTATCAACCTTGGCCTTGGCCTGGAAGGGTCAAGGTCACAGAGCCCTGAGCCTCCTAAGGCTGAGGACCAGGCTGGTGCGCAGCTCTGCAGGCCACCTCATGCTACAGCCACCCTGGGCAGGAGTCTCTGGGGGAATCCAGCCCACTCCAGGGAAGGTTGTGCTGGAGGGAGAGGGAGGCTGGAGCCTGGAGCTGAGCTAGGCCAGGGAGGCTGCAGGGAGGCCAGGGTGGAGGCCCAGTCACATCCCATGCAGGCTGCCAGGTCTTTAGCCACTGTCAGTGCTGTTCAGAGGGTGGGAGCTGGCCAGGCCTGGGCTCTGACCATGGCTCCGGCCTCCAGACAAGACAGTCCAGAGGCCCTGAGGATGGCCGTAGGGCAGAGTGGTCTCTACAGCAGGGCAGGGATAAAGCTGCCGCCCCTGGGGTTCCTGGGGAGACTTAGTAGGACAGGCCCCGGAAGTGCCCGGGCCACTGAACTGTGGCCTGAGTCCCACATGCAGTGCTCACTTCCCAGGTGGCTGCCGAGGGGAGGCTCAAGTCCAGCACGTCCCTTTTGTCAGCAGTGTTCACGGAGCCCTGAGTCACCAGAAGGGAAGGGATGAGGTGTGAGATGGGACCAGGGGAGGCAGCCCTGGACTGAAGTCTCCATGGGTGAGGGTGCCGGTGGTCCTGGCACCACCTGACACTGCTCTGCACCCTGGGGGCCTTTCTGCCTTCCTTCTGGCTTTTGTGGGGTCTGGCTTTTGGGTTTTGGCCCCACCCTGGACCCCTAGAGGGGATGACACAGCAGGGTCAGCAGCCACAAGGGGTCACTGTCCCCTGACTCCGAACCCAGCAGCTTCCTCCTCGGGGTCTTTCCGTGTGCTGGCGAGGCTCCCAGGAGCACAGCTCTGACCCCCAGTCCTCTGCTCCTAGCCCCACACTCCAGGCACCTCCAAGGCACCATCGGCATTTCCTTCTTGTTCTAGTCAGGTGTGGGAGGTCATGGCTTCCCTTCCTTCTTAGACGTGGGGTGGGCTTGGTTCTCCATGGTGGCTTCCCCAGGGTGCCCTGTGTCGCAGGTGTGACCTCTGTCCAGGCCCCTGCCCGGGACAAGGTTTTCTTCCAAGAACAGCCTCTGGTCAGTGCTGGGCATCCTGTGCTTGTGTTGCTGGACCATGGCAGGTGTGTGGGGCTAGAAGCAGAGGGTCAAGGTTTCTATTTCATGTGCCCTGGCTCTGGGGACAGGAGTGCTGTGATGCTCTGGCCCTGTCCTGCATCTCTTCTGGGCTCCGGGCACCCTTGCCATGTGGCCCACACTCTCTGCTATCCGACTGTCCTTGGAGGGAGGTAGGAGAGGACCCGGGTAAGCATGGCTTGGGAAGACCAAGGTGAGCCCAAGGTCCCCAGCGGACCTGCCTTCCAGGAGGTTGAGTCAGTGGGCCCTAGTGGACTCCAGGCTCAGGGAAGATAAGGCAGTGGGCTTGGAGCCGGGATATGCATAGAAGCCTGGAAGCCAGGGCTCTTCTGGGTCTGCATGGCAGGTGTGGAAGGTAAGACTTCTCCTCTCAGAGCTGGACATGAGCACAGGCTGTGAAGCTGAGGGGACTCTCGGGCCGAGGTGTCCGGGAGACAGGGCACCGGCAGTGGCGCCCTGCCCAGGTGGGCACCAGCACTAGCAGCATTGCTACCTCCTAGGGCTGTGGACTTGCTCCATCCCCAGCCTCGGAGCTTGGGGTGCATTTAGAATGGGGGGCGTCTACTGGCTGTGCCGTCTCCGAGTGCACATGGGTTCTTGGTGTGTGACTGGTGGGGATGCTCCGTCCCCTTTGTGCTCGGCCCTGCCTCGGAGCTCAGTACTTCCTGGGCACTGGGATGCTCTGGGCCAAGGGCTCCAGGGCACTTGGTCTCAGGGTCACAGGCCTCCTTGTGCCAGGCGTGGGCACTAGGGCTCGGGCCCGCCCTTCTCAGCCCTGGGGCCTCACCCGCTCTAGCTAGAGCCAAACTCCATCTCCTCAGTCCTGTGCTAAGGCCCCTGCCTGTCCCGTCCTCCTCACCAGCTCCCCTCCTGCACACCGTGAGCTCAGCCTCTCCAGCCTCCCAGCTCCAGGTCCTTCGGGAGGCCAGAGCCCAACTCAGGCCTGTCTGTCTGGCTCTGCCAGTGACTCCAGGTCTGCAGGCTGCTGAGAGCTGAGAGTGCGAGGGCACACGTCGGGGGCGGAGGGTGAGTAGATACGGGTGTGCGCTCTCCGCTGGGAGAGCAGGAGGCGTGGGCTGCACGGCCACGCTGCTGCTGTCCTGGCTCTTGGCTCCAGGAAGCACCTGGACACTTGGCCGGGATGGGAGCTCTGCTGTTCCTGTGCAGAAGAAATCCCACAGTCACCTGAGGGTCACACCTGCCTGTCACCCCTTTGCCACATCCTGGGGTGCCTTTCAGAGAACGGATCCTCAAACGAGGATTGTGACCCTGGCTCGAGCATTGTGGGTGTTGGTTCTGGGAGCAGCCACTGCCCCCGGGCTGCCCGAGGGTCACCAGGTCCCCCACCTGAAACCTGCTACCGCCTTAGCTCTGCCTCGGGAATGACATGGAGGCCTCCAGGACCGTCCTCTGGCCTCGGAGCTTCAGACAGCCTGAGTGGTCCCACCTAGTGCTCCTCCTGCGACACAGAAGCACAGGGTGTCATTTGGGGCTGGAATGGTTGCATTTGCTCTATCGATGCAGCCCTGGGCCCTAGAGTTGAATTTTCAT